GGTTCGTGAACCGGGACAAATGGCCCTCACGAACCGGGTCGAATGGGGATTTTACTACTAATGACATGTTGTGTACGTATCTCATAGTTTTCTGTATGACACGTCTTTCTGGGCCCATAAGTCGGTGGGGGTGGGAAATACGAAAAAGAAAACTGCGCTTAGGCAGGTTTCGAGCCCACGACCGGCGGGTCAAACTTCCCGCCTAACCGCTGGGCGAATCGGGACAAATGGCCCTCACAAACCGGGTCGAATGGGAATTTTACTACTAGTGACATGTTGTGTACGTATCTCATAGTTTTCTGTATGACACGTCTTTCTGGGTCCATAAGTCAGTGGGGTGGGAAATACGAAAAAGGAAACTGCGCTTAGGCAGGTTTCGATCCCACGACCGGCGGTCGAACTTCCCGACTAACCGCACGCTAGCCATCGCACTGGATGCTTTTTTCTGTTTTCTTCGGAGCTGTACGCTTACTATATAAATAGCGTTGTCCTTTCCACAGTACTCACAGTTTTTCATTTTCGAGTACGCACGTGCTAGGGAATTAAGCTGGCTTACGCGCTTATATTTTGGGACGGAGGGAGTAGTATTCGCTACTAATAAGGTGCAAATCCCTGCAAAAAAAAAAAGAAAAATACTAATAAGATGCAAATGCACTCTATGCTAAAAAAGGCACATTGTTTCGAACAATATTTTCTTTAATATTTCGTTTTAATGTTTCTTTTTTCTTGTCTTCCTTTTCTGTTTATTTTAAATTTATAAAAATAAATTTGTGAAAAATTCAAATACTGGCCACAGTATACAAAAATATTAGAACTTTTCAAAAATGTTTCCGTTTCTGAAATTTTGTCCATGTGTTCAAAAAATAATATTAATGTTTTCGATGAATTTTTGTTCAACAAGTCTTTTTTTATGTATTTATCTTTTTTGTATCTCACACATGCAAGCACTAATATTGATTAAATGTTGCACAGTTATATTACTCTACTATACATGCATATACATAAATGTTTGGAACTTTTCAGGCAGTAAAATTTCTTGCTTCTTTTTTTGAGGATCTAAATATATTTTTTACTTAAAAATAACAGGCGCAATGTGTACGTTTGTTTTAAAGCTCAGGCCCAGTTGTCTTCAGTGTTCATTATTTCGTGCTCATTTTTTGGCGGTCTCCTATTTGGTGCG